AAGAAGAAGAAGAAGAAGAAGAAGAAGAAGAAGAAGAAGAAGAAGAAGAAGAAGAAGTTATAGGCACCTTAGGATGATTATAGGTGCCTTAGGTGCAATCCCAAAACATCTGGAGCCACTTGAACACCATCGGCATTGACAAAATCACCATCAGTCAATTGCAAAAGGCAGCTTTCCCAGGAAAAGCTTATATCCTGCAACGAAACCTCTAATACCATCAAACAACAATATCTGCCTATCCCAGGTCCTTGGGAAGGACTCGATAGGTGGATAAAAATGCCAGATATTTTAAGAATCATTTAAGAATCATCTTGGCATACGCCTTACATAGTGCTATTAAATAGCTGGATGCTGTTAAAATAGCTCATGGAGAACCTCAGCTCATCTGATCAAACTGACTGTCTGAACATACTTTGAACATTGCATGCAGTTTTGTGTACTACCTCAAAAAAGAATATTACAATGCTGGAAAAGATGACTGAATGGTAATCTGAAATGATCAAGGGACTGGAACAATTTTCTCATGATGAAGGTTACAAGATCTATGGCTATTTAGGAAAAGGACAGAAAAAGGGGAGAAATCAGTGAGTTTTTCTTCCTCTTTAGCAAAACTAGAATCCAGGGTTATCTAATGAAGTGGAATGTAGCAAGATTCAGGACATATAAAAGACATATAAAGTACATAGTACATAACCAAACTGTGGAGTTTGCCAGCCAAAAACAGTAATAAAGGCTACCGTGAGTGGCTTTAAAACAGGATTAGAAAAATACATGGAAGATAAAGCTGTCACAGAGTTACTAGACAGGATGGCTATTGCATTCAGTATTCAAGATGGCAGATCTTTTGATACCAGTTTCCAAAGAGCATCAGTGGGATAGCCTTGCCAGGTAACAAGCTCCAAAATAAGGTACAATTTATAAAACTAATAAAATGACAGATTATATTGTCTGAACATCAGCAGCTTTATTAATATTTTTTATTTAAGCAAATTGTTTCTAGCCTGTATGAATACCATTCAGATTAAGATGGGCATTAAAAACATGGGCAAGTGGTCCATTTACAGTAGGCTGGGAGTGAGTGGAGGAAAATGTTGTCCATTCCTGCATGGGTGGCCTGTATTAGTAATTGGGCAAGCAGAAAGGGCAGACCTGGCCTAAGTTAGTCATAGCTAAATCCCATTGAAATGAATGGGACTTGATTGAGTGATTTTAATTCATCAGCTCATTGATTTCAATAGTACCGAATGCAACAATTTTTTTCTAAAATGCTGTAATAACAGCTAAGAGTAGAACTGGTTAGCAGTTAAATTCAAAACACATTAAACAGATGGAAGATTAAATTGGTTTTATTTATCATGAAAGGGTTAAGAAAAGGAACAGATTGTATTCCTTTACTGTCATGAAAGAGACACCACATTTTAATTGTAAATAGGAAACAATTTCTTATTCATGTGCCAAGTCTTGAGTTGAACGGAGGTCTTGCCCTCATGTCTTGTGTAATTCCTGTGGCATCTTATCATGCTCTTATGAAGCCTAGACATGAAACATAATCTTCCTCCTATTCCAATGCTACTTCTTTCATGTTATATTTATATGCAACTCATGTGAATCTTGAAATAGAAGGCTGGACTGGATAAGATGATGGGTGGTTCAGCACATATCTCATTATGTTCTTGCGTTCTACATTGGTTAGGGTATGCGGAGGGGAGGGGGAATAATCCTGATTAAATAAAAAACATTTTTAAAACAATATTTAAAATACCATATCAGGCAATGGTTAAGGTGCTTCACAAGAAACCAGTAAACCTTGAGTTTTACCACAGAAGTCAGCTGGGTGACTCTGGGCCAGCCACTATCTCTCTCAGCCCAATCTACCTCACAGGGTTGTTGTTATGAGGAGAATAGGAGGCAAGAGCATTACATACACCATCTGGGGTTATACAAAATAAAGGCAGGATATTAATCAATCAAACAAACAAATAAATAAATAGATAATTCCATTCTGCAAAAACAGCAGTTTTCACTCAGAGCTTCTTTTTGTAACAGCCAGATGATTCTTGCAATGTTCTCTTAAATATTTTCCACATTAATAATAGAATTTACTTCCAGATCCCTGGGATCTGAACCTTGCAAACACGTTCTTAAATTTTTATTTCTTTTTTTCTTCAAATTTTTTTTTTTAAATGATGGCACTGGGGAATAAGGGAAATACTTAATAGTAACACGTATATGTTTAATTGAATGGACATCTTTGTTCAGAAGATTATCTTGGCATCTAGACAATTTTTCATGGCAGTCAAATGTGAATGGTGACTTAAAATCTCGGACTGCACTTCATTAACTGTCAATTAAATAATTGAGCATTTGTTATGCTCAATTATCTTTGTCTTTAATGTGAAAACAAGACATGAACCAGAACTGTGATTCAGCCCCAGTAATATCAGCTATGCCCATGTTTTGAAACTCAGTCTGCAGTAGGCCATTCCTTAAAATGCCTTAAGAACGATATTTGTTGCAGAGAGTTAACTGTGAAATAATTAAAGCTATTATTGCTTATATATATGTGCATAGACTTATTTTTATTCTGCCATAATGTTTTTCTTTGGTTTTTTTTTTTTTTTTAATTTCACAAGTTCTCCTGGTGCTTCAAGAAATTTGTTTGGCTAGAGCCAATAATGGAACAAAACAAGTGAATGTCTACGTGACAAGCACTTTTTCTTCTCTCTACAAAAAACAATAACCATAACAACACAACTGTCTGTCATTAATGTAGTTTCTCAGAAAGCTGAGAAAACTTGTAGGATAAATGCAATAAATTAAGGAACTAATAATTAGTTAATTTAATTAAAAATTAATGCAATAAATTTTCTTCCTTTCCCTCAAAAGAAAAGGAAAATGTTACAATTGCTTCGTCCATAGAAATGAATAGTGGTATCATTACTACAATACACTAGGCTGATGATACTAACTTAATAAATTATTATGGTGTTAACATGCAATTCTACGTTCATTATCTGTTTTGTTATTATGAACCATTGCATCAGCCTGACAATACATGACAAGTCTGAGTTTAAACTTGGTGACCTACCATTGCAGTCCAGCTCTGTTGATATCTTCCCACCAACATTCAGTAGGCTGCCCAAGAGTATCTGGGGTAGGCATGCAGGCATAGTTCCACAATCTATCAGACCCTTCCTTCTTGCTGAATGTGCTCCTCACAGCCACTATCACTTGCCCATGAGGGCACTGGAAGCTGAAACCCTGCCGGTACACATTAACCCAGTCATCAGTACTCCTGTAGTCATCATAGGAATGGTAAAAGTCCCCATATTGGCCCCATGCCACTGTGAATAGTGGCAGGGACATACAGAGAAGAACAAGGTCCATGTTGCTCGAGCTTCTGGCTGTAAAACGCCCAACTGGCGTTGTTGTGCTGGCTTTTTTATAACCATGTCTAACATTTGGATTCCAGATGTGGAACAACTAGCTCCAAATGCTATGTGTCACTGTTTAGACAAGATTTCTGAGCAAAAGAATTGGCTGCAGATACATTTAATTAGTTTTAAGGTGGAATTTTATGAGCACTCTAATCCTTTGCATAATCAGGACTGGGATATCCTAGGACTATAAATCATTTATAATCCCAGATGCACCTATTCATAAGGAATTTAATAACAAAAGTTTGTACAGTAGCTGAAGTGGGAGAAGAAAGAAGCCATTTCAGTTTTAAAGCAATGTTACCATAAGCAGTGGAACAATGGAATTCTTGGAATCACAGGGAAATAATGTCAGGTTGCGATTTTCTGCAATTTGATAAAAGCTGTTTTGATAAATATAGTTAATTAAAATATACATTCCTTGATTCTAATGTATTCATATGAGCTGCTGAGCTGGACTCATGGTGCTCTGTCAGAATATCAACAAATCAGTGGGAAAGAATAAATGGAGAAAAAATGGACTATCCATGTGGACTAAGTCCAGCTACCTTGCATGAACAGCTGGTAGATGCACTTTCTAGACCACAAGAGGAATCCCCTCTCCCAGCTGTGCTCATCTACTGAAGAATATACATGTGGAAGTCCCCTAACTGGATCTGAGTACAGAACCAATGGAGGGGAGGGGAGGAGGGTTATTAGGTCTGGTTCTCAAGCTCAAAGGGGACATCAAGGCACTTCCCATCCCTCCC